CCAGACGTTTCGGCTTACATTCGAGCCATCCTCAATGTATCTGATCCATATACAATCAAATTCTTAGATGATTTGATAGGAGATCTTCTCCTATTTGATAGGAGACTCTCCTATCAAATCATCTAAGAATTTGATTGTATATGGATCAGATACATTGAGGATGGCTCGAATGTAAGCCGAAACGTCTGTTTTTTTTTCTTTTTTTTTTGGTACTTAATAAATCTTTTGCTCTCACGAATTACAGCGATATAACTCTCAGTTGCCTACTCTTTGTTTATATTTTGTCTATAAGAAAAAATTCTCTCCGTGTATATATATATAAAAATGTATAAATTAAATTACATTTTTTATTACCTCGTTTTTTATTTCATTATCGTCGATACTGTTAAGCACATCATGGACAGTGGTGCCGATCTGCAGAGCTTGATCCTTGCCGGTCTCGCAGGCCCATACTATCAACATTATTTTTATAAAATAGTACATTGAAGTCGTTATCAAAAACGTACCATAAACATAATCTTCTATATTAATCAAGGTTACGCCTCTTTGCCAATACAATATTTGATAGTAGAGATCGAAAGTTATCCGGGTAAAAGTTATAATTACAGTAGCGAGGAGCTGTAAACTGAAAATTATGTTCAGCATTTGCACTGTGTTACTAATCATCAGGTGTTGTTTTTTCAGTGCCTTTAATTCGATCATCAAAAATGGACTTCTTTGTTTGTAGCATATTTTGCCGGGATGATATACCATCATATACTCCCGCATGTTTTCCAAATTATCATTGATTCTCTTGAAACAAGCTTTTAGTATACAAACACAATTCATATACAACATATCCATATGAAATGTCAACAGAGTAATATATATTATGTAAATTTTGGTTATAAAATGCATATTCATCTTGTAATATATCGGCACTTCAAGAAGTAGAAACATGGATCCTAAGAGGTCCTTAGCGTAAATTAATTTAGATAGCTTCTGATATAATTCCGAAGGCAATTTTGATGAAATGTCTTTTATGGTTTGAAGCAAATGCATTCGCGGTCCGCTCAAAATGTACGTAACAACTGCTGTAAAACCATTGAGTATGTGGAAGCTATTACGGTTAAGATTTATGGGTACACCTGTGTACTTCACACAAAAGTTGATGAGATAGAAAACGTACAATAAGGAAATTACGCAAACACAGATAATGATGGTTGAAAGGATATAACGTGGTGTGGAAATCTCAAAGACCAATGCATTGATCTTATACGGAAACATTCCAAGCATGTAGCAACATGTGAAGGAAGGATACATCAATGATTCAAAATCCGTAGCGTGAAATAGCTTCAATTTTTTCTGCATTTTGCCATTGGCGCGTCTTTGCAATTTTGACGATGAACTGAACATAATTAATAATTCATGAAAGAACAGCCTAAAATTATTAATCATTTTATAAATGCACTTTCATCAAGTGGAACGTAATTGCGATAGCTTTATTCTTGTTACGTCTTTAAACTTTGTCTCCTTACAACAAATATGTATACTGATAGAACTTTTCACTGTCGATCTACTCACACTGAATTGAAATTTAAAACTACAAGAAATTTTTTTCGCGTCAAATGGAATTCAAAGAGTTACTTGTTTATAGTTGTAAAGTAACCATGGCACCCTTCGATCGACATCATTGAGGCATAGAACATAAACGAATAATATATAATTACTGTGAATTATATATGTATACACAAAGCAAGAGATATAGTATTTATATAAATTAGTAATTCTTTCAAGAATTCATTAATAAATACAGACCATTAAAAAATTCTACATTTTTCTATTTTGCAAATGAGATGTTCGACGTTTCTGTATCATGACTCTTTAAGTTTCAGTCTTTTTGGTCTCACAAACAACATATACATATGTATATACACATTACATACACGAATGTGTAATTGAAGATGCAAAAATATTATATTTATTTTTTACTTGTTCAAAATGTTATTATTAATATTTAATTTCTGAGCTTAATTTACTGATTAATTACGAATTACAAATACTTTTGAGTATTTATTAAAATATAGTAAATTAAATTTTATATGTGTGTGTGCGTGCACGCATAAATATTTTACATACAAATACGATTATATCAATTATACGTACACGGAAAAAAAACAGCTGAAAATTTCATTGATTCAGCAAATCTACAGCCGTAATATACAGACAGTCAAGTTTTCTATGTTAAAGTAGCAAAGTTGACAGCTGAATAACATTAACGATTTGTTAAACCATCGAATCTTCTTAGTTATAGATGTTGAATTCGCGCAGTAAGTTATAGGTTTGCTGTACCACACACACACACACACACACACACACACACACACACACTCAATTAATTTTTTTTTCGTGTACATTTTGAAACACATTAATATGTATGTATTGTTGCGAAAGGCATATGAGCAAATATAATATTGTAAAATGTGTCAAGTTATTATGATGCAACGCCTTATCTAAGTTAGAATTAGTAGATTTTTATCTCGACTGATGAAAGTTAACATTTACGTCATAGTCTACAGACTATACTGTATAGTGGCCACAAGTTCATCAAAGAAGATCAATTTTTGTATTTTAATAACGATAAAGAGATCAGATGATGAGACATGAATTTATTATTGCGATAATGCATGTGTCGAATATTGCTTCAATTTCATTAGTTTATTGTTGATAAATGAAGTTTAAAGAGCAAATATACCTCCAAGGAACTGTTTACATAATCTATTACATTTTTATATATTTTCTGCATGTTATACATCTTAATTTATACAGACTTATTAATTACATTGATTTATTTTATGTAAGAGCAGTGAAAACAGTAGATTATATATGACAGATCTAATCTTATGCTAAAAATTAAATTTTTTTGTAAATTTATCTAATATGTGCCAAAGGGCTTACGGGTTATCGCCGTGTCGTGATCCATTGCAAATGCTATAGTATTTGTGGCAATTTTTTCATCGCAATAATGTCATGTTCAAAAATTGCACCAAGATTAATGAATATGTGCTGATGTTATCCACACTATTTAAAATCAAATTTAAAAAAAAATAAATTAATCACTTTTGATACATAAAAACAAATGAACAATAATTTACCGCTGTGAGAAGCGTCGCGTCCACAATAAGACTCTTCGCGGTATTATCGCAATGCATAACTTGCAAGGAAAACAACTGCACAACTGCAACATCAGATCGTAAATTAATGAATAACAAAATTGCAAAATGTAATTATAAATTTATTATATGTCATGTGTAAATATCACATTAGAGATTATATGGTACATAAAAATTACATTTTTTATTACTTCCCATTTGATTTCATTATCGTCAACACTAATTAAGCACATCATAAACAGTGGTATCAATCTGCAGGGCCTGATCCTTGCCGGTCTCACAAGCCCACACCACCATTATTTTTATAAAATAATATATTGTGGATATCGTCAAAAGTATGCGATAAATATAATTGTCTATATGAAAAATGGATATGTTCATTTGCCAATATAATACATAAAAATAGAACATGAAAGTGATCTGGGTAAAAGTCATAATTATAGTAGCGAGGAGCTGCAAACTGAAAACCATGTTCAGTATTTGCACTGTGTTACTAATCATCAGATACTGTTTTTCCAATGCTTTTAATTCGATCAGCAAGAACAAACTTCTTTGTTTGTGGCCGAGATGATGTACCTTATCCATCGTATACTCCCACATATTCTCCAGATTATCATTGATTCTATTAAAACAAGCCTTTAGTATACAAGCACAATTCATATACAATATATTCATATAAAATATCATCTGGATAGCGTATAATACCAAAATCTTGATTATAATCGGGTTATAATCGGATATTATAATACGGATACTTGTATTGAAATATAATGGCAGTTGAATAATAATAAGAAAGAAGGAACCTAAGAGATCCTTGATGTGAATTAATTTGGATAACTTCTGATATGATTCCGGAGGTAATTTTGAAGAGATCTCCTTTATAGTTTGAAGCAAACGCATTCGCGGACCACTCAAAATGTACGTGACAATCGCTATAAAATCACTGAGTATGTTGAAGCAACTACGGCTGAACATTTTGGGGACTATTTGATACCCACTTCCAAAAATATCAAATTTATAAAGAATATATAGAGAGTACAATAAAGAAACGATGCAAACATAGGTAACGATGGTTGAAAGAATATAACGAGATGTGGAAGTCTCGAAGACCGAAGAATTGATTTTATATGGAAATATTCCAAGAATGTAGCAAAATGTGAAGGATACATCAATGATTCAAAGTCCGTAGCGTGGAACAGTTGCCATCTTTTCCACATTTTGTTATTGACTCTTTGTAATTTTCATGACGAAGTGAACATGATTAGTAGGATGTCACGAAAGAATAATCTAAGAATTATTAATTATTTCATAAATGCACTTTGTCGTCAAGTAAAACGTGATTACGAGGTCTTTATTTTTAAATGTTTTTAGAATTTGTCTTTTTACAATGAATATGTGCACTGATATGGACTCTTCACTGTCGATCTACTCATACTGAATTTAAATTTAAGACTGTAAGAAGTTTTTGCATGAAATTATAAAAATTTTCAAGGAATTTCTTGTTAGTTGTCAGGTAACCATGGTACTAATAAATATTTCATCATTGGAGAGAACATAAAAGAATAATATGTAATTGTGACATGTGCATAAATGAAGCAAGAGATATAAATTACATAGATGTAGATCAGTGGCTTTTTCAAGGATCCATCAACAAATCGTTTTTACACTCTTATATTCAAAATTTATTTTACAAATGGGATATTCAATCTTTCTATATTATGACTCTTTGAGATTTAATCTTTTTGGTTTTACAGACAAACAATATATACATATGTACATTGTATATACGAGTATACAAATGCGTAATTGGGATGCAAAAAGATTAAAATTGCTATTTTCTACTTCTACATAATGTTATTATTAATATTTATTTTCCGAACTTTATACAGATTGATTATAAATTACAAATATTTCTCCCGTTTTTAAAATGTATTAAATATATTAATTATTTAAATTAATATATTTTTATTAAAATTATTAAATTATACTTTCTTGCGTGTGCCTGCGCGCGTAAATTTTGTACACACATATATTGTTAAATGATTCTATGTACGTTTTGAGAAATACTGATCAGGAAAGACATGTATAATAAATACATTATTATAAGAAAATCGACTTTGCAAAAACGATGCTAATATCTTAATTAATCAATATATTGATCTGATAAAATTCTTAATAGGTAGAGGAAAGTCGCCGATAATTGACATATAGGTCTCCTAAAGTGACACCCCCTTATTTTTCGGAAACTAACTATTGCACTTTATTAATACTAATAAAATCATGATCTGTTTAGCTAATTAAAGAAGTACAAATTCATAATTCGTAGGTTTGTGGCTGGTTTCTATATCAAATCAGATAAACTAAAAACTAAAAACGAATTCTACAAATGCGAAAATAAAATTCTTACGATTTTTTTTGCAAATTGTGAGGTTTAAATAATAGTGACTATATTATTGATAATATTACGTCATTTTAAATACTTGTAGTTTCCGAAATAAGTTTTATTTATATTATTTTTTTCTCTTAGTCTTTTCATAATACGATTTTTAATTCAAAATTGGAGTGCAGCGTAAACCGACACATCTGTCCGTAAAACAGATCATGAGCGAACTTAATCTTTATAATGTTGCTTTATAGCGTCAAATAAGTCTATTGGAGCTGAAGGCAATCGTGCATATATGGAACAACTCTAGAAAAACTATCGCGTTACATATTTGCATCTTGCAGAACAGCATAAAGTAAATATGCATATAATTCAATA